ATTCAGAGTACTTCCATGCAGAAAGCTAGCACTGCATACAGGAAGGGGGTAAAAATTAGCAAAATCTAAACTAATGAGTTCACATTCACCAGAAATGATTCACTTTTATTTCCTGTTGCTCACCACACAAAGCAAAGTGATGGGGACGGTGTGAAATCTTGTTGAAGCTCAAACAGCAGATACATCAGAAGAATTGTAAAAAGCAACTGAGCTCTTCAAAGAATAATAATAATAAAAAAAAGCAGAAATAGATGCACTCCTAGAAGACAAGCCTAATTCATGGCCTATTGGTGATACAAGCTATGGAGATGGAAAAATTCCACTGGAAATGAAGCAAATGCAGGCAAAATGTCTGAGGGAACTATAAACTCATAAAAGAAAAAGCAGTAAAGAGTCAGGACAAAAAGCCATTAAGACAGCTGGATATAAAGAGTTTCTGGGCAATATACTAGTTAGAAAAAAGCCTGGAAATTACAGATACTGTCCTCTGCTGTGCTTTGTATGTTCAGAAGGTGTTGTAAGCATGTTTTTACATAATCAAAGAAGCTTGTATCTCAAAAACTAGTGACTCGAGCATCTGCTTCTACTCCAAAAAGGAAGCAAACAAACAAGGAAACATAAACCAAAAGCCCCTAAAGCTTCAAAAATAAACTAAGTGCTTGGGGTACAGAGAGCAACAGCAATACAGGCTGAAGTCCATATCCTGACTCAGTAAATATCTGTGATATCTACCATGAAAAGATTGATTGCAGAAGTGCTCTGTGTTCACTCATGAGAATGAAGAGCAAGATTTCTTGCATTTCTGTTACACTGTGATAAAAATGACTTTTGTTTAATTTTAGAAAACCTTCCAAGGTGCTATTTTTAGTTCAGTTATGTTCTGCATAACACGGCTGCCCTACAGACCACAGAAGCAGACAGTATTAATAAGCTATGGCATCTACACTGTGCCCAAGCCCTGAAATATTAACGTATGGGAAAAAAAATAAGTTACTTTAATGACAGGATTTAAACTTTTTAGTGAGTATCAGTTTCTAGAAGCATCTGTCTTCAATAACTACAGTACAGCATACTCCAACGCAAATACTCTGCATGCACTTTGCATGTACTCTGTTCCAACAGTTTGAACAGAGAACAAGCCTACGCCACACACATACCCTATCTGTTTTAGTTTAGTTTATGCTTTGATATTTTGCTTTTGAAAGAACATTTCACAAAAGAACAATTTGCTCAAACATCTGCTCCAACTCAAAAGAGTCAGATAATGCAATAACTTTTATTAAATAGGGAGGTGGCAATGTACTTATTGACCCTTCGAAGACTGAACTAAACAAAGCAGCCCAGGAAGACATCAGGCAAATTGCTTCACAGAAACTCACCAGAATGGTTACACTTTTGTCAAATACTTAAAAAAGATTTTGTCAACTGCAAAGACTGAATAACTGAAAAAAGTGCAGAGATAACATTTTGGTAATAGTCAGCTTAAAAAACATTAAGGACGGCACTAAGAACAGTTTGTACTATAAAAGGAATACTTAATTGTTTTTGTTGGCTTCACTTATAAAGTATGACCTTTTGTAGAAACTTTAGGTACACCCTATCCTTAAGGCAATGGAGCAGTATATTTTCTGATAAACCACGAATAAATAAATCATAAATAAGCATATAATGAAGACAACACAAGAGGCAAGTTTGACAACTGCATATTGTCATTTTTGTGTTGCTGGAAGGCAACAACCACTGGAAGGGAGAGTAAGCCCATTCTGAGGCTATAGAGGCTCAAGACAAACCAACACTGAGGATGCACCTCTACTTCCTGGCATTAACATGGCAAACATTAAAACAGCAACAAAATGGATCTTTCACTACCTTTGCAGTTGTCTTGAAAAGAGTGGAGCAGCTCAAGACAATAATTCAAATCAATGCTTGTTTCAAATCAAGTTTTATGCTGCCCTGAGTCATTTGGGTTATGTAAGTTATTTGTTATTTCCAGTTAACATTTGGCAAAGCATCTTTCCTAAGTATTTCAGAATAGCTGTTGGCAAAACATAAATCTATTGAATAAATTGATTCATAAAATTACTTTTATAATCCCAAATAGCATAAAATCTGCTAAAAAAAAACAAAACAAAAAAAAAAAAAAACACTGCTTTGTGTATGTTACCAGTGAGGTTTAGGACTGCATTTCTTGTTATATAAGCAACTTAACAAGCATCGTAGTGCTGCATCTTCTTTATTTAAAACCTCTTACTTCCCTGACAAAGCAGGCACCACAGTTGAAGTCTGAGGCTGGAGATAAAACCATCTGGAGCATTTGTACCTTCAGCCCTTCAGAGTGACATTTTGAAACACTACTGCCATGTGATCTTTGTGTCCACAAATGTCTCTACAACATAACTGTGACAGTTGCCATGCCCACCCCAGCACTTAAAGTGATTAACTTAATGACCAGAATCATTACCTGATCCATGGGAGCACTGGAAGACACACCTGTGCTCCAACAGCAGCCCAGGACTTTAGCCTGCCTGTGTTTTCAGCTTATTGATCATCCACGCTACAGAAGCGCTGGTTCACCCTGCACAAGAAGGCAGTGGAGCCGTCACTGCAGCCCAACAGACAGGGCTACCTGCACCGTGGCCTCTGCTGCGGCTGCACCAGCCCCAGCAGCCATGGGCCCACCTCACACTGCACACGGGGGCTTCAGCAGCTGAACCTCCCTTACCTGCAAGTGTTCAATACACTGCGAAGTACGACGATGCACAAACATCAGAATGCACTTTGCATATGTGATTCGCTCTTCTCAGAATAAGGATAGTTGACTTTCCTCATATGGAGCATTTGAGTGCACACAGACACATAATACATCAATTGAGACCCTCTCAACATAAGCATTCACATAAAGTATGAAGGGAGTAATTACTGATGAGACAAAAACCCCAAATGACTGTACAAGCATTTTACAGCTAAGGTAGCAAGAAGCTAAGAACAAGCAAAACATGAATATGGGAAACATTAAAAACCACCATGATAATTAAAAAGTAATTCCCGCATTTATAAATGATGCACATTGATGTATCCACAAATATCAAATTCTGGGTTTTAGTAAGCTTTCGGTTCCTGCCTGCCTTGGAGTGATTTCTGTCTACATTGCATCTTGCACTGGTGTTATCGCAAAGCGACACACAAACATGAAGCCACTGTACAAAGCTAGAAAAAAAATTAGCAGGACTCTTGAAACAACTTTACACAGGTGAAATTGAATCCATTTACTGAGCCAAAATAGAAGCCGTGAGTGTCACATGCAATCTGCACTCACATTCGGGAACAGTGACTTGCCAAGCGAGCCGAGCAGCAGGAGCATAACAAGGCTCCTTACTTGGGAGCAAGGCTTACCCTAGGAACCCAAGCCAAACGTTCTGGCCTAGAACACTGTGGCTTGGAAAGCAATCCAAAGACCTTGACAGGGAAGGATGCTGAATCAGTGGGGTGGCACAAATCGTCGGCAGCAACAGCCTTCTTATTGTTCCTTGGAAAACAAAGCAACATTGCTATAAAGCAAAGACACTGTCAAGCTACTGGCATAGCTTTTTAGCTTGAGTGTAGAGTTTGCCTTTTCTCAGTAATAGCCAACATATTCTGAGTCAGATTCAAGTTCATTTATGAACAATGGATCTTCCCATCTCTAATCCCTTTCCCTGACCATAAGGAAAGGCCATCATCATTGCCTGCTTTGATGAATCTCTCCTTTTTCCATCCCAATGGGTGGCATGTTTTTCTCCCCCAGGTCAGTAGTTAGCGCACAAGCAAGACTAATTATGTTAAGCCTTCACATTCTGCCCAAGTAGTTTAAAGTCTTAAATAGCTGTATTTCCAGGCACATATCACACTTAACACAACATTTAAGCATTTTTATTCGGAGTTAAATAGATTTTTCTATGCTGTCATTTAATCTAATATTTTGAGATAAGAGTTTTACAGTAATAGACTCATAACTGCTGAAAAATAATCAGATAGTTTCCTGCCTAATTAACACATTCATTTCCTCCATAAAACAAATTGCAAATAGTTTTATGACTTAGAGCTTACAGCCTTCCTACAGAAAGCTCTGCGTTTAAATTAGTTAGAGGACATCTCTGGATATTTTGCAGATTTAGTGTTTTCTAACACTTAAAGGACAAAGACCTGAATATAAATTTGGTGTTTATACTAACATAGCTGATAATCAGCTGACTTTTTCCCCAGTTAAAAAAACCAAAATCGCAACTGGGATAAAGAGTCTGAAGCTGGAATAAATTAGTCAATGAAACACTAAGATCTGATATCTTGCAATAAACATAAGCAGAAAACAAAGAGGTGACATGAAAATCATCACAAAACACAGAAGATTTAAAAACAAGAGATGAGGATGGAAGAAAGCCAACAGAACCCTACGCTTTTCAAAAGGTAACAAGTATCTTAACAAAAGGTAGGAAAACTTGAAGCAACTTAACTCAGGAGTCAGGATACAAGATGGCTGAATTACTTTCCAAACAGGAGGAATTCTACAAATAAAATCCCAAATCAAACAATTGAGGGAAAGAAGAACTGGAAAGTACTGGTACTTCATATAGCTTCAAGGAAGGACTTGGCAAGTCCCGTCTCTGTTCAAGTATGCACACTGCATCCCCAAAAAGTACTCGGCTTGTGGCTGCCTGGAGGAAAACCTGTGAGCTACCTGCAGTGCTGGGTGCTCCCGAAGTAGGATCGGCGTGCTTGAATAAGCTGACATGGGAGAACTAAGAAATAAAACAGTCTAATTCCTGTGCCTCACTTCTGATACACCCAACATTTAAAAGAAACAGTTGAAGTGAGCCTTGACAGGTAGAAATGCAGTGTGTGAATTACTTCACAGCCTTTCTAAAGAAGTCCTGTTCTTTGAGAATTCCCAAAATTCCATTTAGAGTAACCAATATCCATCTGGGGTTCAACACATGAATATGTAAAAGGCAGCACTACCAGGATAAATCTCAAAAGAGACTTTGGACAGAAAGGTTTCTCTTGCTAACGAGCTGTGGCCAACCCAAACATGTCCAGTGTTATGTAGGATTGTCCTACAATATTTGGCTGTAAAGGAGAAATGGCAATTGACTGGCTTTTCGGTTCATTCTTATTGTGTTCTGGCAAGCTCTCAGAAATGAGAAATTCCCTGGTATTAACAGAATTTTTAAGGTATGGATTGAACACTGCTTCTTCATTGAAATCCAAGAGGTTTGAAACTTCTTCTTCCTTCCTTTCTTCATTTTCATGTGAAGTATGTTGGAATTCATTAATACCATCATCTTCCAGCATTTCTATGGGTTGGATTTCCTCAGTTGGCATCAAAGTTGAAAACTGAACTTGACTTCTGAAATCTTGATCAGTAATGGTATAAGGCATGGAGGCTGAAAGAGAGTTGGCAGCTTCGTGTCCTTCATTATATGGTATCTTTTCATCTAGGTTAATTGAGTCTTTTGTATTAATATCAGTATATTCTGAAACATGTGTTTCATGACTCATGAGTAGCGAGTGTTCATGTTCTTCAGGAAAACAGGGTTCCAAAACACTTACATCTTCCAAGCCATCTATAGGTTTATCCTCAGATGTTACTCCCTTGAAGACTGAGTTATTCTGTCAGTATAGAGATCAATTTAAAGATTATGATAAGAGTAGATAGTGTAACAAAAGGTTTATACAACACACCTATGCATACATTTACACATACATAAACATAAGAAACTGCCATTTTAGTTCTGTCTTTTCATTTCAAAATTGCATTAATGAACAGCAAATGTGCATTTCAGCTGGAACGCAGTTATACTGTGAAAGACAACTAAAAAAGTTATTCACTTTGTTTCTTAAAAGCTGTCATAGCAAGGTTTTTCTGCCTAATAAAGTGTTTTACTGAAGGCTCTACATCAGGCTGGACTTTCTGTATCTTTTATACTCTGATCAGCACTTTTTCAGACGAAATTTTACAAACTCATTCTCCAAAAATTACACATTCTGTGGAATCCTGATCAGACCATTTCATTTAAATCAGTCTCAAAATTCGCTAAGCAGCAAACAAACTTTAGAAGAACTAAATCTGATTAAATGCTTTGTAGCCTAGGTTGCAGAACGTTTGGGAACTATCCAGACTGATTTGGCAATCAAAGTCAATAGACTCAGAATCCTGAGAAATTATACTGTTGTGTATTTAATGAGTCATATTCATCAACCACCAACTCCGTAGCATTTATTGCTTATCATACAAGAATTTAAGGAACATGGTTTATAAATCTGCATTTTTTTCTACTAATTTGAAATAAAACTAAGGATATTTCTTTTGTTCTTTTGTTATCAATTCAATACTTCGATTTAATCATAAAACAACTGTCAGAGATGCACTTTTCTCTTGACTGTTCTCACTTTTAATGAACAAAGTTGAGATCATTACCATAAACGCATCAGCAGGCCATTCTACTGCAATGCTCTCTGCAGGATTAGGTATATCAGGCCAGCAAACTTTCTTAAACCTGTAATTGAGAAAGTAAACTTAATCAACTGAAAAATCAAGTGTCATAAAAGTCTAAATACTGCTATAATATCAAGCTTCTACAAAGGAAGTCTTTCCTACGCTAACACTATCTTTTCTAATAAAGTTTTCCCTCATGTCTTTTTTTTGTCTGTTTTTGAATGCAACAGAAATATTTTCCCTAAAGAAAACTTTGCTGTAGTGGAAGTGTCACTATTGTTATGGAAAACTAGAGTTACCATGAGCTCTTATGTCAAATAAATTATCAGCAGATACATCAGATGGACTGAACTATCTTGGAGCAGATGAATTACAAAAACCCTTCAGCTGAACCTATCCTCAATTCATTTGCCAAACTGTCATAAGAAAAAGGGATTTACAAATAATCTATTTCCTTACTCAGTTTTAAATATTAATTTTTGAAAGTGCATTTTGTTTGAACTGTTGCGTATAACTGCTGTTACAAATTAATCTGCATTCTTAGCCACTTCTTACTCAACCTGCTATATTCTCTTAATGTGGCGCTGGTTCAAAACCCAATACTGAGCATTTAAAAAATAAACTGCCTTTTATGAGTTAAAATGTACTAGTAATAGCGTACTCACATGTGCTTTTTAAGAATACATATTATCCAAAGGATTAATAAAAACAACATACTTAATCCAACAGGTATAGCAATGAAAATAATGTCTTCTTCATCTTTAAGGAAAAAAGCAAACAAAGAGATGTTTACTACTCCCTCATGTATTCCATTTTAAAAGTTAGTTCTAAACACCTAAGTCTCCTAACCAGCACAGTTTTAAAAAGCTCTGCCCAAGCTAACCAAAGCTGCCCAGGATACTCTATGGTGCTCCCTGTATAACATGCATCAAATCAAACAAGCCATAGCTGCCAAGCCAGAAAAGCTGCCTGTGATGGAATTGGAAGAGTACTGTTTTTTTAAATTTACTTTAAAATGATCACACAATAATTCAGACCCACGGGACAACCAGAGATCATCTTGGCTGACTTGGTAACTAGATCAGATGACTAAGGGTCATACTGAGGCAAGCTTTAAATATCGCCAAAGATAAAAAGTCTACCACCTCTTTGGACAGTGGATGTTTTAGTATCACCTAAAACTACTATCTAGAGCCACTTCTCCCTGTTACTATAAAATAAATAGGAAATTCAATGCAGGAGAGCAAGTACCTACAATGCAAGCATATTTCAAACTTCATTATTGCTCAAATAGTGTGCAGATTTCTGAGGTAGGTAACTGATGGCAAAAACCAATCCTCACCCTGCCATCATTTGGCTTGCATTTGAATAGCAAATTAGCAGATGCATTTGCAGTCTAAAAACACTTTGAAGTATCCTTCATTTCTTAATCCCAAAACCTATTTTAAAAATAGTAATCACTAAACTTGAAGATTACTTACTGAATTTCAAAGTCTTGAAGGTTTTTCATTCTCCTCTGGTTCCACCAGCTTCATTGGTTGCCATGATATGAACTGTATATTGGGTATTTGCTTGTAAGGACTTCAGTCTGTATTGCAGAACATCAGGGTTCACTGTTTCATCTTTTTAGGAGAAGATTTATGAAAATAAACACACAGTGATTGTCCAAAATAGGGTTGTATCATAAAACTGCAGGATAGGTAAAACAATCTCACAAAATATTTTACCCTTAAGAGTGTTTTGAAAACTTTATACCCTCAAGCCATGGGATACTAAGGTCAGAAATAAACTTCTTAAAACAGCTGAGTTCCTGCATATCCTGAAACGGCACTCTAAGGCCATGCAGTCAGACACTGAACATCCAAAAGGATGCAACATTATTAAACGCTTGGACATCTCCCAGTGAAGTCAGAAGAAGCTCTCTGAAAGCAACAGGTTTTCCTCCACCCCTGCCAAAGTCTCAAAGTTCTTCTCTGAATAGAACACAGTATTTCAAATACCTTCTCTATTACTGGAATTATTATGACATGGTTTACTTTGTAAATTAAGTGAGGTATGTAATATTCTGCATCTACAAAGAATATTAATTTTAAAATATAAGCATGTTTTTAAAGTCACCAAAACATTTTCTACTGCATGAAGCCAAATATCAATGCACACCATTGTATAACTCAAAAGAAGCAAATGTGCAGCAACCAGTAACACTGTTTGATTTGTCCCACTCCTGCACAATTGTTCTTCTACCACTGGCTGAAAACAAGCTGCAAAAAAGCCTCTTCTGTACTAGCTTCTATCCACATCTGGGAAAGGGAAGTGACTGGGAAATGACAGTGCCTTCATGCACGTCCTCAGTATCATGCTTGAATCTTTGGGACACTAGATTTGCATCATCTCAGTTACAGAACTAGAAAGAATGATGTGGATCAATCACTGCTGCACTACCACAGGCAGAACATTGCTAATAGTAAAGAAAGTTCATTAAGATGAAGCACTGCTGTATGAAATAAATCCAGAACAAAGAAATTTAGTGAGAACATACAGGTCATATTAAAACCTCAGATATTCACCAGGAATACCCTTATCTTTTAGCTTAAAGACATTTGCCTTGCATCACGACTGTGGCATTTTAGTACCAGTACCTTCAGACACAGCTGGCCTACAGGAAGGTGTGCTAATAACAACAAAAAATAATTATCATCAGACAGCAGATTGTCAGAACACTGCTGAAAGCTTTAAGGTATACTTACTCAATTCTTCACCACCTTCAGGTTTATAAAATATTGTGTAACTAGTGATGAAGCCATTTCGTTTGTCCTTTGAAATTTCCTTCCATTTAATTGTAATTTCATTTTTGCCTGGAATGCCTGTGTCAGCCATAGGTCCTTCTGAGGGTTCTATAAATAAGCATTACAAATTAGAAAAAAAAAATTCAAAGTTTCAGCCATCCACATTTCTTTATTCATACCAGTAGCATTAGCTACTATAATTTTATGTCTTAACAGTGCTACAATGTAATTCCTAACTTTTCTCAACCTAACATCCGATTATTTCTGGTAGCACCTTCCAGCTTCTATTTGGGTAACTGCATCTGAAGACCTTCAGATATTCTAAAGTCTCTATCTTGAAAACATCACAGAGAAATTGAGGTAAAAGGTCCTTTAATGCTCCTTTCAACAGGAAAGCATTCAAAAGCAAGCTCCAGCTATGCTTGTAAATATGATTGCTCACTGTATTTGTACTACATGTGTGCACACATACATACACCTATACATATGTACACACACACACACTTGAAGTCTTAAGTGTATCTGTGAATTAAACCATCCAACTTGACACTTCATGTCTTTTTAGTATTTTTCATGTGCAGAACCACATTTTCACTTATATTATAAAGCTTAACAAAACCAAGCACATCCATTTTATACTGTATATCATATATTTGTAAAAAATACGGCAAATAGCCCAGTCATTGTATCACTAACATCTCATTAGATATCTAAGCATAGATAGAAGTTGAAGAGATGAGTTTGGAAAATTTATGTTTGTGTCAACATCCATAACAAATACTTTATAACCAGTATGTAAACTTGACAATAAATGAGTAAATACTGTACCCCTATCAAGGCATATGTTTATTTCATTAAACAATAGTGAAGAGCTGGGCTGTGAACAGAAGTGAGGAAGCCTGACTCCTGGGTTATTTAATCACCCTTTTCTCTCCTTCAGTCATGCCTAACACCAAGCTGTTCCAAGACAAAATACCTTAACAGATGCACTGCAACACAATTCACAGATACGTACTTTTTTCTTGAATGTAAGTTTGAATGGAATATGGAGCTCCTACGTTATTTCCATAGAGAGGATACACTGAGATGTTATAGCATACAAATGGCTTAAAGGTTTCTGTAAAGAAAAAGGAGACATTTACATAATTCTCTGCATAAAATTCCTAAGCACAGAAGTATGAAAACGCTGTAATTTCTTGCTAGCTAGAGACTTGCCAGCTAGCAATCTAAGTGTTCTGCTCCATGCTTCTATTTTCTTCATAAAGAAAGAAAGTGCATACTTGTCTATAGTGTTCATTACTGCATTTAACATAATAATTTATTTGATAATATTTCAAAGAATGCTTGGATTCTGACTCATTCTTTATTAAAATTATTGCACAAAAAATGCCAGGACCAGGGCTGAGCTACAGTAAGGTCCAAGTGGCCTTGAAACACCACATCTGACTTATGTTCAAGATAAACAAAGATCTCTCCCACTCATGCTTGGGAGCAAGGAATTTTAACTGAGTTTATAAATAGCATTTTATTCCTCACAGCAAATTGCTGGAATAGCTTAGCTTTTCAGCATAAGCTCGGGACTTCTGCAAATTCTTAGTTATTAGTTCAAAATGTAATCAGCTATTCTTCATTTGGCTTTTGTACTTTTACTGCAACAGAAGAAAAAAGAGAAGAAACATTTCCATTTTGTTACCTAAAGTTAACATGCAACAGATAACTCAGATTTGTATTAACATTCATAGTTTTCCATTTGTACATATTTCTTGACCTCTGCACACTATTGTGAAGCTAGATTTTTATTGTGGCAAATAAATACACAAATCATTACTATTTAGAGAATTTTGCAATTTAAAAGGTAGGCCTCAGAAAAAGGAGAACAGATCTTCACCTATTTGTCTGTCCATTGTAACTGCTGCTCAAACATCTAAGAAAGGCATTTGGTTATGTGTATAAATCTTAGTATGATACTTAACATGCCAGACGCAGTAATTACTCCATTTATTTATTTTTGAGGAATATTTACCCTGAAAGCCTCTCAAATGGCTTACTCTTCCTCTAACACACATGAAGACACATGCTCTTTCCCATCTTTGAACACATTTTGGTTTTGTTTTAGATTTTTCTGCTAAGAGAGTGTGCATCTGTCAGACCTCCCTACTTAAAGTTCCCTTTAGTATTAAACTTATGCAACCTTTCAGCTATCAATACTATTATGCTTTATGTGGATAGTGCGATACAATTTACAGTATGGTGTTCTGGATCAGGATAAAAGGGGATGCTAAAGGTGATACAAAGGCAGATGGCAAATTCCTGTTATGCTGTTCCTGTTTATCTAGAAGACAGGGGAAGTTTGGTATTTTAATCCCCTTGAACCTTAAGGACATGCTTTAAGTATAAAAAAATGATAAATCTGACCAAAATTGGACAATAATGCTAACTATATTTTCAACTTGACAATATATAGTCAAGTGACTATATTGTCACTTTGTGTCTGCTTTCTAGTCTAAATATGACAAACGTACATCCATAGATTGTCACAGCTGTGATTATAAATAATTTAACATACTCTTATTAGTTCTCCAGTTCGTAGAATTTGATACATATTGCCATGATCTGGGAAAAGAATCCATCTCCAGGTCTTCATACCACTCAACAACATATCTGCTTATTTCTGATCTGGAAGCCATCCATTCCACCACCACTTCTTCCTCTGCTGTAAAGGTCTTCACACTTTCAATAACCTGAGAAGCTAACAGAAAACATTTAAATTTAATATAAACACCACAATAAGGAAACATTTCAGTCATGGCAAACTTGTTTAATTGGACCGTTTCGTTAGAAAAGCATGAGGATTTGCCAAGATTAAAAAAAGGTTATAAAACACCATTTAAAAGTATATTCATATTTATGTAGTCAAACTTGTAACCAAAAAGACAGAAGAGGGTGGAAGGAGGGAAGAATGAGATAATGCACAAAGATTTACATGTACAGAATCAAGTATAGGCTTATCTCTTATGACTCACTTTATACTTTGCAGACTCTTAAGTAGTACAGATACAGAAAACTGGACTCGGACATCAGAAAAACAAAATCAGTAAATCTATCCAGCAAGTTCAGAGACAGGCAAGCCAAAGGGAACTATCAAATTGCATACAGACAGATGACCTAAGGCTGAGTTAAAATGTAGCCAGGCAAGTACTGGGGGGAAAAAAATAATGTAGAAAAAAAATTGTCACAGTATAGAAAGAGACTGGAAGACTCTTACTGTGGAATACAAAAAGAGGTAGGTATCCAGCAACATGCAGGACAAGATGACATAATGTCTACACATCTAATTTTCTGATTAGATTATAATGTGACTGGCCTGGAATTGAATGAGTAATCCAAGAAGGTCACTTATACTTTTTTTTCAAGAAAACAAATGATGTAGAAGTGATTCATTGTGGGAAACGTAAATTCCCTTCTGGAGCACAGGCGGGGAGTAGAATGTTGCAATAGAAGATTAAGGAAGATACCAGAATTAAACTAAGGGCCAAAGAGCAAAAGCCATGTGCTGCAGTACACCAGCACTATCCCTGACAGTGGGTAGAGCTTTTTGTACTTTGTGAACTCACAAGAACAGACAAGCATTTCTCCAACTTCCATTCACGCATCTTAAGGAATGGATTCTCTTAAACACCTCTGTTTATATGACACTGGCCAACACACTTTAACAACATCCAGTGGTATCAAATTTCATAAGCTGGTAGGCAATTGGAACAGAACTGGGTGGCACTATTTGGGAGGTCCAAGACTCAAGTAAATAAACAGAATAGAAATCCTAACCACAGTTGTGTTAAACCCAAACAAGAGCCCCAACAATAATCTTCTACAAAGGAAAAACCATATGACAAACAGAAAGATGACATTACCTCAGTAACTTTTCTTCTGTTCTGGGGTACGCTATTCAGTTCAGTCTCTGCAACTTTGAATGGATTAAATGAGAGACTTGTCCCCCTGCTACCAAAAGGGTAATGGGCTACCCATCTTTGCACGGCCTCTCCTATTTATAGTTCCAACATTCAAAAATCTTACTTTTTTCATCAGCAGACGGAATCCTCAATGTAGCTGCTGGAGAATCTCCAGCAGAATTATAAGCAGTAACGGATATTATATATGCCCCTTCATTTACAAACAAAATAATTTTCTTATCAGTAGTGATTTTCATCATTTTAAGAGCAGCACTGTTTTCTGGAAAATATTGTACTGTGTAGCCTAGAATTTTCCCAGGTGGTGGAAAGTGATTTAATGGCTATAAAGAAAAAAAAAATCAGTAATAAGTGTTTCAGTGTCACTTACATAATCCAAAGTATATACTTTATTGAAGCATTTTATCTCTTAAAAAAACTACACAACACCAAGATAAGCAAAGGGTTGGTGGGGGGAAGGAGATGAATGAGTTATTGAATGCAAACATTCTATTTCACAAGTTCATCATTTTGCTACTCAGTAGAGAATCATCAGAATATCTCACTTCAGCCGTTCCAGAAATTTACGAAGTTTTATTTCCATCATGTCAATGATACTGTATCTTGAATACTTCTTAATGCTACATAATGCTCTAAGAATAATTTTATCACAAGTGAAAAAACACTACTAAAAAATTTCTAAGTGACCCAACAGAGCACTGCATGAAAAGACAGGAAAGTTTCTTTGAAAGTCACGCTTCTACATTACTTAAGATATAATTGTAAAATAGGGCCAAATATCTTTTTCAGTAGTTACAATACATAAATGTCCAAGTCAAACTTCAGTAGAATTACAGAGAATTTATAAAAGCAAAGTACTTTCCTTCAGTCACACCTGCTGCAATTCCATGGAAAGGTTTAAAAGTCAAATAGTGAGATTTGAAAGACAAAAAGTCTGTGGGCACTCTACCACAGCAAGGTAAAAATATAGCTCTGACACACACTATTACGTAAGAGCAGTTGTATTTTTCAGACAGATTTTTTTCAGTTATCTGGACACACTCAGACCTGCCCCTGTTGCACTATTTACAAAGCTGTACTCATCTGCTGTTATGTCAACAAAAGACTTAATTTTTCCTTTAGTTCAGTGAGGTCCTTTTTGGGTGACAGGAGCACCTGAAAGTTTCAGATTTGCCTACAATACTTCAATATTCAAATGCAACATCTACTGCAAGATACCATCAAATCCCAGAAAGTGTACTTACCTTCCACATGAGGTGTACAGTTCTATTTTTAGTGAAATGTGAAGATTCAATTACCCTCCACAAATCCAGTTTTTCTACAGGTGCTATTTAAAGACAAAAAAGCCCTTGAAATTATTACAGTTACAAAAACAGGGTTAATATGGCAAAAACGAAACACTTCAAAAATATACTGAGAGCAACATTTAAGTCTTTTCTTATATTTGTAATATGGTGCCCTTCGCCCTCTAAATATTTCCCTTGTATCTTCCTTGTTCTTTTCAAAACTTTCCTGATTTTTTTTGGTTCAGATTTATACCCATTAAACAAAAAATATATAAAAAAATCCATCTCTAACTGCCTTTTACTAACTAAACATTTTATATTATTGAATTCTAAGGGAAAAGTCTGTCTTACATTTATGTGCTGTGCACACTGACAGCACTGGATTAAGTTTCTCAACTTCTTTATTCTAGACTATGTAGTAGACACTAATAAACTGATTCATTTTGAGATACATAGTGCTAGAAAGAAGAGTTGAGAAACAGCTTTAATAGGTACACAGATATATGTGTGTATACATCTGTTCTGTGCATTGTAAATAATTAATTAGTAAATATTGTGTGAGTCATTTGCACTTTTTTGGCATTATAGACAGTAAAGAGTTTCCTTTAGACCTGTGTACTTTACCTAGCATCAAAATAACAGGAAAAGATGACATTTCCTTCTGTTTTTTTTTTTTTTTTTGCAAAGCTCTAGAAGAGATGCTGTAATCCTGTTTAACTGACAATTTCTATACTTATATTTTACTACACACTACACACACTGGCTATAATATTTAGCACATGCTTATTCTCAGTTTTACATATTCTCAGATTATATACATTCTCAGTTTTTCCTGTTTTCTTTCCTCTCTATTCTTCCTTTTTTCTTAGGCTTTTTTTGGTATTTAAATGTCATTTACATCTCTCAGAAAAAGGTGTCTTTTTTTGTTTGTTTGTTAAGAAAAAGAACTCTTAACTCAATAGCCTGATCGCTTGCTGAAAGTAGTGTTTTCTGTTACTAAATCCTAAAACGCCCAAAAGTATACCCAAAGAAAAATACACTAATTTTTAGGCTACCTTTCTCTTCTGTGCTTGCTGTTTTTTCTCTACTCCATTCACTCCAGAATTTGGATTCAACACTTCTACACTGCACAGCAACTGCATACTCTGTGGAATCCCATAAGCCTGTGAGATTAAGCGATGATATTTTCTCTCTGAAACTCAGTCTGACAGCAACAGTTTCCTACAAACAAACATATGAGCAAAATTCAGTAGGCAGTAGATACTTAATTTAATGTTAAAAAATAAATTTGAACAGTATCACTGGTGCACAACAGAAGTACAAACCAGTGACAACACCTGGCCTTAACCACTGAGCCTTCTGCTGAAGAGTGCGCCAGAATAATGGTGTAGCAGGCAGGCACACAGCCACTTCTTTAAGAAGCAGAATGGCAGTTGCAGTAATGCCTAATGAAACACTCCAATTTCTGAAAATTTTAGTCCATACTCATCTCAAAACACTCACTGCCAAAACCAGAATGGATTCAAGAGGATGAATTTTGGGAACTAAAATACTAATTAAAGGGGCTTCAGAACTGTCAGTTTCCTGCAGAACTTGATATGCAATTGCAGAGACACAGTCTGTCTTTTACTAATTTGACAAAATTAAACAATTATAATCACAAATTAAATATATGCGAGTAGAAAAATGGGTAGTCTGTTTTTCATAGCCTGCAGTAATCTATTTAGATTCTTCTGTTAAACAGTTTAAAAGGTCAGGAAAACAGTATTTGCTCAGACACATTTTTTTTTGCACATGTTTGCTCAAAAATAGAAAAACACTTCGTATATCAAGATGAGCTGTCATCTTTTGGCCACTGTCATTGGATTGGCAGAGATGAGTTTTTCTTCTCTCCCTAAAAGTTTCACTGAGGTGAAAACAAACATTTTAACTTCAGGAGTTTCAAAAAAGCCAAACCACTTGACCCATTCTTCAGTTTGAAAGAGATAACAGCAACACCGCAAATGAAACTGCTTCTGTAGGAGAAGCATCATTGGATGGAAATGAAGCAGCAAAAGGCTAAATGTTGTGTCTCTAGTATGCTCTTTCATTTAAGTGCCAGAAAAACAGACTCCACAAAAATAATTTCCTTTAGTTTCTGTATTAGAAAATTGATGCTTTAATTCACTTGAAAATTAGTGTATCACTACTCTATTTACTGTATTGTCATTTGAGTAAGTACTGTTTTCGCCACCAGTAGGTAACGAAAGTGCAGGTATTTTCACTGATTCTGTGTAAACAGATGATCCCCAAACCTTTCACAGGAGTGTTGCTAAGCATGGCACGCAACAAAACAGACACTGACCACAAGCGAGGAATTTACCCTAAGACTATTGTTCCATTGTCTAAGGTAATGTATATATAATTTGTTCCACTAAAGTAACTAGATTTTATTACTAGCTCTAATTACTTTTTCCCTTTTTCTCATTAGCATTTTATATCATTAAGAAAAATAGTTTGTCACAAATAAACTACTACTAGGAAGCAAAGCTTCACAGCTTACTGAAGAGTTGGAATACAAGTTTCTGTATCGAACCCGGCAGTTTATGTCTTGAGAAGGTAGCATCTTTTCAGGTTTTTTCCAGGTTACAGCAAGCAATTGCTTTACACCAGCAATGTTTTGTACTGAAAGTATTTCAGGAGGGTTAAATTTCTCTAGAACGAAAGAAAAATATTAACATTAGAAAAAGTTTCATATGAAAGTTTAGAATTGCTTGGCCTATATGGATTCCAAGAAGTTAAATATCATATATTTTCTATTACCATATACACATAACAGTGTATTTTATAGACACCTATGTATGGGAAGTTATTTATAAGAGACGTTGCACACAACTAAGTTAATGCTAACAAACTTAAACAGAAGTGCACATTTCTTTCATCACATAGGTCTTGAATACCACCGAAGTCTCATTTTCCTGAGAAGACTCAGGGAAATCAGCAAGGAAAAAGTTGGAGATTGAGATAATTAACAGGTTTTAATACAAGGAGTAAAGTAGTATAGGGTTGCGTAAATGTCAGAATTCTCCAGTGGAACCTCAACTAGACGGGCTGTCTTTACTTCTTGTTTGCAAAAAGTGTCAGGGAATGGACTCCTCATCAAGCTTCTTTACCATAATGAGAACTTTACTTGCATCATTTGGTAGTGGTGCTGTGACATAGATACCCAGTAGCTGGATCTACATATGGGCCCAAGTAGAGGCACAACGTTACTGTAATACTGTTCCACAGAGTATGGCCAAGGAAAGTTTTCCAATTTGGATTTATTCTGGTTTCAGCCTTAGCATCAACCCCTCACATAAGCCAGCAAACCGAGTAAAACTCCACAACCTGTCGTGTTCATTCAAAAATAAAGCACCACAGGGTTGGGCATTATGTAGGGAATAACAGCCATGCAGACCTTATCCTACTCAGATCAGAATCCTGGTGAACTACCAAATCAGTAATTCTAATGATGAAAACGAGATGAAATGAGATGGCATTTCAAAGCTAAAGTCAATTAAAACAAACAAACAAAAAAAACAAATGCATCAAACCCAAATACTAATTTCAAAATCATTATATTGGAAAGTGTTTTTCATAATTTTCTCTCAAATAAAAACACCTTAGATCACACAATTCATTTCAGCATCCTCAAAACCTACAAATTGTACAAATGCTGTATTTGTGAGGCAAGGGTAAGAGAAGAACTGGGGAAATTATAATCAGATCAACATGTAATGTGGTTCATGCCTAGATAACTTTAATTACCTATTTTTTCCAAGGGTATAGGAACACATTTTGATACAGCTTCACCCAAAGCATTTTCAGCTTTCACCTGAAAGCAAGTGGAACTGCTAAATGGAATATTTGGGTAATCAAATGAACATGACTCAGTTTTGCTTTCACAGCTGGAGCCACCTGTATTTCGAATAGGTGCATCGTTCATCCTAAAAAATAAAAATAAAAAAAAATAAAAATAAAAAAGGTAGAAATTAGAGATTCACTAGGTTAGAATTTAATCAATAGTTATGTTTTAGGGGTTTCAAGTCATTTTTACCACTAAGCACCTTCTTTGATGTCATTTTTGTGCAAACAAATACTGTTCCCAAAATCTACTACTGCTGCAAATCCACATAGTACATAAATTCAGTATCTAATATGTCTGTGCAGGATAACTATATGTAAGATATAAGATAAAAAGATATAAAAACACACAACTTGTTCATGAAAGCAGAAATACATCCCATTTGGTAGAGCTAAAAGATAATAAAACTTCCCTGTGTCTCAAATATGGGGGAAAAAAAAGACAAATTGTAGCAGTGCCAAATTATTATAAGGTGTGATATATTTTCTAAAAGAACACATGGATAGATCTGGTATTTTCACTATATATTTCTGTGAGTGAGAAGGAAGAACAACCAAACTCATTTCACTCAATTAGAGAAATTCAAGTATATCTCATACTATATAATAAATAGAAAATTATCACAACTAGTAATAGTTTACAGAGGTTACTTCATGAACAATTTTAACCCCGCATAAGGCTGCACATCTGAGAAAGGTGGCAGTCCTGCCTTTCCCAGCACACACAGGTGCTTCCATCTATAGCTGTGCTCCCCCATACCAGTGATTTCCTAGTGAGGTGGTAAACTCAGTCAGGGAGCTGAGCTGGATTAAAATTAGCAGCTCCATTTTACCTGAAACAGTTCTGCAACCCAATTTACTGAGCAATTACTGAAGAATTTCTGCTGGTGCAAGAATCAGCAATAGATACCTCTTAAGTAGCTGACATAGCTTCCCAGACTCAATTAAGTTATAGAGCTTAGAAATGCTAAGAGAAATACAAGTTCCACCTGATGAAGATGATGTTTCAACTAATGAAGATGCTGTAAATACCTGCTCTGTCAAGTCCAAACTGGAGATAAAACTAGAGACCTTCTTCCTGCCTGACCATTTAAACAAACAAAAAAAGATGAAATATGCTAATAAAACCTGCAAATCTTCATGTTTAAGAATATTTTAGACAGTTAAGAAAACCACTTATGTGGGCACATTTGCTAGAGTCTTGATTAGGCAGCATCGCTCATGGTGCTACTATGTGAAGTGAATTGACAAGTTGATTTAAGGCAAAAAAAAAAAAAACAGTGCTACCACCTTCAAAATTGTATTTGTGATCTGTCTTGAAACAACACAGATATCACCATTTTCACAGTAACTTACAGAAAACATCTCACAATTTAATTGAAGTGGGAAGAAAATAAATATGCATGCTCAAAAAAACCATGCGGCTACCAGCTATGTGTAAACACAAGTCCCCAGCTGTGATCAATCCAGAAAGAATCTTAAAGAGATGTATAAATTCTACAATATCCTCCTTGGCAACACAGTACTTCAAGCAATCATATTTGGAATTCCTGTACAGGATAAAAGAGTCTTTGCTTTAAACAACTGTTAGTTTAAAATCATTGGAGGAGAAAGTATTTAAATTTCCCATGCTAAGTGGGAGCACTAAGAAACATAGTAAGTTTCTAAGTAGCATGCCAAAGCACCTGCATTCTGACTTGGCAGCAGAATATCCTAAGGGATTTTATCTGCACAGAGGTTTTGATATAAGTAGCATTTAGTTCATTTAGTTTTTGATTCATGAAGCTTTTGATTTGGTTAGCATGTTGTTTCAAGGATACAAAGGAATGTTATTTTTGATGCAAATGTTTCTGTATTGAAGACCTCCTTGAAAATGCTCACTTTTACCTTTTTATTACATTGCGTATCAGACTAACTTCCTTCAGTCATTACTAACCCAGAATTAATTTGGCTTAAGGAGGACTGTGCTTGACTGTAAACCCTGTGGTGCTTCCAGGTTTTGTTCACACAGGAGTTCAGGATATGAGAGAATGGAGAGAGCAATCTCACCCAATATCCCACTTCCTGATATATTCTATACTTACATTTTCCTATAAAGAGTATAGCTGGTTTCAAGATCCGTTTGTCTTCCTGAAGTCCAATTACAAGCAAGTTTAACACTAAAGTAATAAATGCAGGAAATATTTCCTGGTCTGTCTGGTGGAACTACAATTACATAAAAATCTCTGGTTAAAAATAAGCAAAATAAACAACTGATAAAAATCAACTATGCTAATCAAAGTGCAGATTATAACAAACTTTAGTAAAAAACTTTCCTATTGCCCTCAAAACTCACCACTAAGCCACTGAGCCACTTTCTCACTCAGGGAGATTTGTTCCACCTACTTCTCAAAAATGCTTAGTTACATAGATCTGAAAGTGCTTTTACATCATCCTAGTAACAAGCCATTAAACACATCATGCTGATCACCAGGTATAGCGATTGCAAAATTACTGTCACTATATGCCAATGCGTATAGTAAGATAAAAACAAAACATCATAAAAGTCCTGGAAAAGAGGGCATTCTCCTAATGATCACACTTTTTTGTTCCTTTCCAGAATGTCTAATCACATATCCTGTTCATCTGAGGAGCTTGCACTGTGAGACAGTGCAAAAGATAACTCCCTGTGAAACACATCTATGTGACCCTGAAGAGACAAGTAATTCCAAGATTCTCTTTACTTTAGTACCAAGAGAGTAGAAAGGTAACAATTCTTTGCAATCTCTGTAGTCAAAAATCAGCCATAAAATAACACCCTCAAATATATCCCTATCAGACTTTTTCACTCATCATCTGCAGGAAATGCAGATGGAAGAAAACTGTTCCCTCAAATAATCTGGCTAAAGAAACCTTATCTCCAGAAGAATTTTAATTTCTTATTTCAACACTTCCTGAAAGCGTCCTCTTATTGAGATAAACTTATGGCACACAAGCAATTCTTTATGCTGTTCTTTATTCCAGAGACATATTTCTTTGTATTTGTTGCTCCTTTAGTGGAGAAGAGACCCAGAACGTATATTAAGATAATCTTGACTTAATCTGTCAAACAAATTTGAGAAGTTTTATGTGTATATTTTTATTGTCACCTTCTTCAGGTGAAACTGTAATGATAATTTCTGTGAAACAGGATCAGTAGGGAAATTGTGCCTAGAGGAAACTAAAGTTTGCTAGTCTAGCAAAGAGACTTATCGAAGGGAAAGATTCAGTTCTCAATGAACTCAACGAAAACCCCTCTGACTTCATCTGGCTAGCACTAATAAAAAGATCAGAAATTTCATGCTTTAGTTCATATAAAAAAGGAGATGCCCGAACATTGCTGCCGCAAGAAGGCTACCAGCTAAAAACACATTTAAAAACAAGTTTTACGAAGAGTTACTCAAAAATATTCCATTTCAGTATCCTATATTTCTACTTACAGCCAGATTTAGCTTCAGTGTGCACCAAAAGTTGTTCTTTGCCTAAATAATTAAGGAAACATTTCACACATGCTCTATTGTAAGTGAAATTATGGATGGTTACACTAGATACAGTCTCATTGACAACATTATAGTTCTCCTCAGAGATCAGTTCATGATTCAATTTCCAGATTATGTGGCTTGCATTCCTGTGAGATATATAGTGATTTCCAAGAACACAAAGCAGTTTCAGGGTGGTTCCTCTTAGAATTTCAGGAGATGAAGGAAAAATGTCAGCATCTCTGACAAAATTCTCATCTAAAAAACAAAAACAGAAATATTACATAACCTGCTTCCTTTTATATTTCTTTTAAAATAGCTGTGCAAAGTAACTTATCAAGTATGTCTAGAGATCATATAAGCAATGAAAGATCAGAAGTCACCAGGTGGCTTCAAAGAGGAGGCATCTTCAGGAGGTTTGCTTCCAGCATGTTGGGCTCAACTCAATGGAAGTGCCACCTATACCAGGAAGACCTTTATGGTGATCATCCAGAATGGACCAATCTCCCATCTAAAATTAGGACTTAAAAGGTAGTGGCAAAGTTATTTGTTCACTAGCAAACATACAGGTGTGACAGCTTGAGCGCTGGCATTGGGACATAGAAATTTTCAAATAATATTTATAACACACTTTTGTTTTAAACACATTTTACGTATAATAGGAGGTTTATCAGATGTGGCTCAAATACATTCCAGGGACAGAGCAAACTGATATTGCTGATAGCAAACTCAGTTCATATTAGTTACCATGCTAACATAGATACTACATGAGAATGATGTTTCCACAATTTCTCGGAAACAGAAATATTTTAAACAAACTGTTTTTAATAGGTAAAAAGAACGAAGGACTGTTACCAGTATTTTTGTCTACTCATGTATATTTTGTCTATTCTTATATAGATATTCATATGTCTATTCATATAGTTTTTATAAACACGTGTTTTTTAAAAAGGAGTGTACATATGACTCGGCTGGTACAATCACTAATGAGTATACCAGAAAATACTAACTGTGGAACTGCCACACTAAGGAAAGATCTTCAGACACTGCTGACAAAGTTATGAATAATGTGAAAGCATTGATAGTCATTCCATTAATTTTTGAACAAATATTTCACAATATTTGATTTAAATCAGTACCATGATTTTAGACATTAACTACTCTTTAAATATTCACATGTTGCATACGTATTAATTTGTCAGCACATATGCAAATTTACCAGTCTTGACAATCCAACAAGAATTACTCCATGATATTTTTCAGATAGTTTCCCCTCCTCCTACATCCTATGAGCAGGGAAATAGTTACACAGATAGGTTTTAAAATACACGAAAGAAAATAAGCTCAGACTATAGTAATGACAGTTAGCATTCCATAGAGATGAAGGATGTCAAGTGAACTTGTCACTCTATACTGTACAGTATTTAGTACTCATTAACTTAATACATTTTTTCATTTTCCTAAGTCTTGAGTATGTCTTTTAGAAAAGGTCGTCTTTTAGAAAACCTTCTTAACACATAAGTAATCAAGAAACTTTCCATCCTACCTGCTGCAGAGCTCCTGCAGAGCAAGGCAAGCATCCAAATCAAACTGCAGAACATTTCTTTTTAGTATCTAGGTGTCAAAAAATAAAAATATACTTTAAGTAAAGACGTCCTTGAAATTTTAACACTTGTAAAGATTATATAATAAAAGTTAGAAACCAGATTCAGCATATTTAAAATTGTTCTAAGTTAAAAGCTAGCAGAAACAAATGCAGCTTGTGCATTAGTTGGCAAATGGGAGAGACCTACTGTGTCACTGGATCTAACTTAGCTCAAGAAAGAGGAGGACTGCATGGGGGCTAGGGCTGAGACCTCTTGGCAACAAGCTATTATGCAGTTCAATGCTGTGCTGCACCTCCTTCCACCAGCACCAATTAGCACTTGGGTATTTGACAAGCAAATTGCAAGATGCTTCAAGGCAGACACGAGGCAGTGACTTCACCAGTTATGAGGCTCCCATCTCACATGGTAATCACTGTGCTGATAAATGAACAAGCAGTTCTTCACTTGTTGACTTTAGACATTTCACACTTAAGAGTGTAGAAAGAACATTCCCAAGTGAAAAGTAAATCATAAATTCAAAAGTGCTTTGCTTAGTGAATTATACAATCTAAATTCTACTGAGCACTAGAGTCTGAGCCCATACTTGGCCCCTCTGGGCCATCTGAATGTGACATAACGCAGATTAATTTAAAAAAGCTGTATGCGTAAGTACTCAAAAACTCCAAGACACAAACCCATTAGCAATTACACATTTCAGTGAGGAAGAGAACAAGCGTGAGGCAAGCAGGAACATCTAGCTCTTTCCCAGATGATGAGGCAGACAAGCATGAGCTTCCAAGACTGATATCACCAAGGAGAGATACTCCAGTGAGCATCACAGGAGAAGGGAGGTTTCTCTGCTTAGATCAAGAACATGGTAATACATGGGATGAAGCAGTGCATGACAGTGAGAGTTAACAGCTTATGGCAGCTCTCTCAACCCTTGATCAAGCCTTGATGTGTCCACACATGGAAAAGGGACAAGATGTAGTAAATGATGCTGAGAACATTGGTTTCATAAACCAGTCCCTAACTGATCAAAACCTCAAGCCAAGATGAGTAAGATATAAAATATGAATATTTAAAGATAAATTACACATATTGTTTTAAAAAAATGCTATCATAATCTACTAAAATGATTTATAATCCAAACTATTATTCAAACAATACATACTTGTTGAGAAACCAGAGACCACCACACTTACGGAGCCCTCTGACAGAGCAGTGGGGAACACAGGCCAGGCTGAACAGCAGCAGTCTGTTCTAGAGACATCAGCAAGAACAGAGCCCTCACTTCTCAGTCTTCCAAAGTTCAATGACTTGTTCGTAAAAAAATTGCAAATTTAGTGGAAATCAAAAAGTAGAAAAGATGTTTTCTTCCTTCAGTGTCTAAATAAAAAAAAGTAGGCACAGCAGGATAAGATACTTTTGTTTTAAAATCCTGAAGGACACAATGACCAGAAGTCAGCTCAGCACATAACTGCTGATAATTCTTTTGTTTAGTACACTTCTGGGCAGCAGAAACAAAACTGATAAGTCTTTTCCTTCATACTAGAAGACTATTTAACATACCAAATATTAACACACTTGGACAATACTTTTTTATTTAAATTCTAGTTTTCACCCAAATGCAACTTGAATAAAAAAAAAAACCAGCATCTCAGTAATTCATTATTTTGTAAACCAATGCAAGCATAATAAATAATCCTTGCATATATCCCAACAGATAAAACAGTTTAAAACATATTTGTTTGGCAGAAACAAAAAAACAAAACTATGACCCCAGAACAAGGTTAGATTTATTTAATGAACAGGCTGCTCTTGCTCAACCTACATGACTTTCTGATCTGGTGATGCTCACTGGAAAGGACTGGATACTAGCGCTGCTGCAACTGCTGCCATCGCTGGGCAGAGCTCACAGCCACCTGCCATCCTGTTCTTTATCTACAAGAAACAGGCAAACAAGGGCTTAAATAGCCTCCACCTACAGCTCTGCTCTTAGAGTTTTCCTCTTAGCTTCAGTGCTTGAGAGACTACAGTGATGAGAGTCCCAGATGACTGTGCTTACCATTCTCAAGCAGTAGGATGTTATATAAAATGATTGCCCTTGTACCCTTCCTCAGGCATAGTAAATCAATAGAGCTAGACAGGGCTCAAGATGCTTTGACTCTAGCAGACAGCTGGGTGAGAAATTCAGCTGGTCCTAGCAGCAGGATCTGTGCACTGTGCTTTAAAGCAAGGCAGAGACCCCAAAAGAGCTTTTCCAAGACCCAATCCCTCCTCTCAAGTCTGCAACTCTTCTAACTTGACATTCATAACACACATCAGCCAGAAAACACAAGGGAGGATTTTCTGTACCACTTGAGAGCACTAGTTCGCTTTGCTCGCCTTTGCCTCTTAAAGAAAGACCAATGCCCAATGCTCCAGAGTAAAACACACAGACACACTTAAAAGCTGCCAGCAAACTGTTTTGGAAGCAGAAGCAGGGCAAAGAAAGGAAGAAAGAAAGAAAGAAAGAAAAAATTCCTAGACTGCTCAGGGGATCAGCTAGCGCCCCAAAACCCAAGGTATGATTAACGATAATCATTGTCTTAATGCAGTGCTGAAAGTATTACACGAACAGTGAGAAAACCATAGGCTATCCTGTGGACAAGAAGGAAAAAGAAGAATGAGCATAAAATATTACCATAAATCGTAAAATATGACTTTCCAACCTCACCGTGACCCTGCAAGCTTACTTTTCTAGATAATATGGCATTCCAAAAGCCAGATTTAACCACATACTCCAAAAAACATTACAAACTCATTTAACAGACTCAGCTGGGGGGAGTTCTACACTTATACGGCTATTCCTATATTGATCTGTAAGTGTTAATTTGAACACAATTACCATTTGGTTTCATATCTTCTCCACAATGATCAAGAAGCTTACTCTCCACTCCCACTGTTAGGTATTCTTCTACACATGCAAACACTGAGACCTACTCATCTCTGCTTTATATAAATGTAAGACTTAGTCTTCATGCCTTGCTTAAAAAGGCTTGTTTTTATTCCCTTGTGTTTTTTCTTTCAAATTCTCTTTTATATTAAATTCTCCAGTATATCATATCCTTTCTGAAGGAAGGCATTTGAACAGTCACAGCTGCATGTGCAGCAGGCGGGACACCATCTCCTTCACATTAGTGCAACCAACGTGTAACATAACAAAGCCTCTGCACGGCCCGTCTTCACCTTCCCTGACCACGGCAGCACTGCTAGATGCTCTCACGCTGCTCTGCAAACACTATCAGACACTTACTTGCTACACCCCTTGTTATATATCGAAGCATGTCAGCCCTTTCTCCCCGGTAATTGAGGCAGTCATCTCTGAGGATGTCATCTACTTTTCAAGAGGGCTTTTTGCTCTCTTGAACATGCTCTGTATTCTCTGATCCCAAATACACTTGGTGCTGTCTTAGCCTGGATGAGACAATTGAAGAAAAAGCATTACTCCCTGTTCATTCAAATTGTCTCATAGAGATTTTATGTTGGCTTGTGTCCTTTTTTTGTTTCCTACCAGTATTTTCAGGTAACATGTAAGCTTTATCAACATCTTTATCAAAGCTGCTGACTGGAATATGGAATGGTAGTATGAAACCCCTTTGCATAGGGCTGATTAAAACAATTACATCT